TGAAGCCAAAGCGCTGAAGGACCTGCTGCACCATGTGTGACTGAGTCAGGGTGATGGTGCGGCTTGCTCTGTCCCGGGTGATCTGCAAGCCAAGGTAACTGCGCAGCTCACCCAAGTCTGTGCACGTGTGTCTCTTCTGCAGCTCCGACGTCACAAGGGCGAGAGCCTCAGTGTCAGCAGTGGCAAAGACCAAGTCATCGACGTACACGAGGTTGTAGAACAGTGGCAGTGAAGTGTCGGTGTGGAGAAACAGCGACGGGTCAGCAGTGGAAGGGCCAAACCCAAGAGCCGCAAGTGTCGTCCTCAGTGTGTCGTGCCACTCACGAGGCGCCTGACGGAGACCGTAAACTAGCCGCTGGAGGCTCCACCGGGTACCAGGAGGGAACGACCCAGTGAAGCCAGGTGGGCGGCGCAGCCAGATCTCCTCGTGCAGACTGCCCTACAAGAACGCTGTGCTGAAGTCAAGAGAGTGAAGCTCGTAGTCACGCTGAGCGGCAACGTGCAGCAGCACTCGAAGAGTGGTCATCTTCGAGGTGGGGGAGAAGGTCTGGAAGAAGTCAACTCCCTGTCGCTGACTGAAGCCTCGTGCAACGTAACGAGCCTTGAAGACAGGCGGAGAACCCGGCGGCCGCTTCACCCTGAAAATCCACATGCCATCGACGATGTTCGCCCCAGGAGGGGGAACCTCATCGACGTAAGTGCCTGTGGACTTCCAGGATGCCATCTCTGCATCCATAGCTGTCTGCCACTGAGAGGAGTAGGGACCCGCGATCGCCTCAGCGTAAGAACGCGGAGTCGGGATGTCAGGTGCATCCGGGTCTCCCTCAGGGGCCAGCAGCATGGCCACAAGATGAGGCGCAGCGGCTGCAAGGCACTCAAAGTCCTCCTGTCTGTCCTCAAGGACGTCCGTGCCAAGAGCACACTCACCCCCGACGGACGGAGGACACACAGACTCAGACTCAGCAACAAGACTAGCAACGTAGTCTAGGCGACAGGCAGCAGCAAAGTCAACAAGCTCAGAGACTAAGGCAGACGCAGCAGCAGACTCAAACGACGGGTCAGTGACAACAGTGGCGAGCAGACGTGGGACAGTAGGGTGAGCAGCACAAACCAGGTCAGACTCAGGGTCCTGAACGTCATGCAGAGAAGACGCAGGAGGAGACGGTAGGGGAACACGCTGTGGAACAGAGGAAGGACGAAGTGCCATAGCGTGCGTGCCAGGGATAGGAGGCGGACGCTCACGAGGAACACGGCGACCAGTGCGACCAGGGCGAACAGGCGAGGCAGGACGAGACGCAGGCTCACGACGCTCTGCAAGCGATTCTGTCTGCTCAGTGGAAGGAGAAGGAGCAGGCAGTGGTGCGCTGGGCTGTAACGAGAGACCAGTGAAAGACGGGAGGCTAAGAACCTGGCAAAGCACGGAGTCAGGCGGTGGCAGAGACGAGACGACGGTGACGGCGGAGTGAAAAACAGTCACGACGGTGCAGTGCCACCAGACCAGTAGCTCCAGCGCCTCCAGCAGCTCCACAACCTCTAGCTCCAGCGCCTCCAGCAGCAGCACCTCCAGCTCCAGTGACTCCAGCAGCAGCACCTCCAGCTCCAGCGCCTCCAACTGCTCCAGCGCCTCCAGCAGCCCCAGAACCTCCAGCTCCAGCGAATCCGGGGGCAGCACCTCCAGCTCCAGCGCCTCCAGCAGCAGCATCTCCAGCTCCAGGGACTCCAGCAGCAGTACCTCCAGCCCCAGCGCCTCCAGCAGCTCCTGAACCTCCAGCTCCAGCGCCACCAGTAGCAGCACCCTTAGAACCGGCACCTCCAGCCTCAAGGTCCCCAACTCCAGGGTTGACAGGACCAGCGCCAGGGCCTCCAGCAGCAGCACCCCCAGAACCCGCACCTCCAGCTCCAGGGTCTCCATTGCCAGGGTCGACAGCACCAGCTCCAGGGCCTCCAGTCCCAGTACCTCCAGCAGCAGCACCCCCAGAACCGGCACCACCAGCTCCAGGGTCTCAGACCCCAGGGTCGACAGCACCAGCTCCAGGGCCTCCAGCCCCAGTACCTCCAGCAGCAGCACCCCCAGAGCCGACACCTCCAGCTCTAGGAGCAGTACCAGTCCCGGCAGCTCCAGTACCTCCAGTACGAGCACGTCCAGGACCAGAGACACCAGCACTCCCAGCGCCTCCATGACAAGCAGCTCCAGCAGCACGACTCCTCAGGCGGGTACGCGACGCAAGCCACTCTCGTGCCTGCTCTAGTGAGACAGGCCTGCGTCGTGAAACGAGACCCAGAGGAACACCAGCAGACTCAGCTCCCCCAGGCTCCGCACCCCCCGGCACCTCACGGACGGGCTCAGCACCCCCAGACTCCGCAGCCGCAGGCTCAGCACCCCCAGGCTCCGCACTCCCCAGCACCTCACGCACAGGCTCAACACCCTCAGAAGCAGCACCCCCAGCAGCACCTCCCGCAGCAGCACCTGAGTCGCTAGTAACCTCTACAGGCTCAGCCAAGGGGGGCGGGTCTACCTGAGACACACCTGAAGGAGCAGGACCCTGAGGGGGGAGGGGGTCTACCTGAGGGGGACCTGGAGCGAGGAAAAGCGGCGGGGGAGGGAGAGGGGTAGTGCGGTAGGGGAAGAGGCGGTAGAAAGGAACCGACTCGTGAAAGGTGACGTCCTGAGAGGGGAAGACACGGCGCGAGGTGGGGTGGTAAAACTGCCAGCCAGGCGCGTCAGGGACAAAGCCAAGGAAGACGCAGGGAATGGTGCGGGAGGAGAGCTTGTCCGCGAACGTATCGCAGACAAGGGCACGAGCACCCCAGACCCGGAAACGCGACGCATCGCCAACTTCCCCCGTCCAACGCAGTGTGGGCGAGGTCTCCGGCAAGGAGACACGGGGCCAGAGGTTGAGCTGCTGCGCGGCGTACCGGACCGCAAACGGCCACAGAAAATGGCGAGCCACCGCATGAATCAAAGGGGTACGAGCGACCTACATGACTAAGCCAATGCGGCGCTCAGCAACCCCATTTTGCTGTGGTGAGCCTGGAAGCGTGAACGACTGCTCGATGCCCTCCCCCTGACAGAAGGCCCGCAAGAGGTCGGAGGTGAACTCACCACCTCTGTCAGAGTGCAGACGCAGGACAGGAAGGTCCTGGCGGAACCTGCGGCGGAGCCAGAGACGAACTGCTCGGATCCAAGGGATCAGGACAGCAGGGACCTCACCCTTGGTGCGCAAGGGGAAGACCGTGGTGTACCGCGAGTAATCGTCGACAACCAGCAGAAAGTACCGCTCACCGCCCTATCCACGAACGCGGGCTGGGCCCCACACGTCCAGGTGGAGGGTCTGCAGAGGAGCCTCTGTCGGGGGAAACGAGGAGGAGTGAGGAGCGGCGCGCTGCCGCCCCTCGACGCAAGGAAGGCAGGGCGGCGCAGGCGAGGCAGGGAGGGGAGGGAGAGACCTGGGAAGACCAGACACAAGGAGGCGACGGTGCATGCCACGTAGACGTGGCAGGGAGGGGTGGCCCAGGCGGTGGTGCCAGAGAAGAGTTTGGTGCGACAGGGAGCGACACTCACAAGGGGAGGCTACCTGACGTGACGCAGAAACCTGACCAGTAGCAGCTACCTGAGGAGGCGCAGTCGTCTGTGTGTAAAGACTCGACCTTGGCCGACGGGTACACGTGGCCAGGTGGCGGCCGGTCCGGGAGCACGTACAGATCGCCACACGCTGTCCTCCAGGGGTAAAGGTGTCAACCCACTGGTCCTTGAGAACTGTGTTGCTCACCAAGTTTGTAAACAACGAGGAGAGGTGGAAGCCTGTCAGTTTGCCAGACGGAACCGTCGGGCATGGAAGCACAGTGGTGGACCGTGCAAGAACTGGGCCCCCTGAGGGGTCACCCAGAGAGACTGCAACAAGTGCAGGGAGTGGTGTGAGTGTAGTACTGTCACGGAAGAAGCAGCGGGAAGCACCTGAGTCAAGCGTGAAGGTGTGCAATGCCTCAGCTGGTGCAGTACCTGAGGAAGCAGACTCGCTAGCACCTAAGGCAGCAGCCTCACTAGCACCTAGAGCAGCAACCTCTATACCGGGGTCGTACTGTACACACAGGTGACAGTCACTCTCAGTGTTGTGTGATGCAATCATATGCATTCACGTCTGTCTGCCTCCCATCATGTGTTCGTGCGCTGCATGCGTGGTGTGAGCGTGTGCAGGAATTTATGTTTTGTGCGGTTTGGTTTTTCTGAGTGTGTGTGAATGTTATTTGGCTTGAGCAGATATCTGAAGTGACTCCTCTGCTCAAGAGCTTTCCGACGAACCAAGTATCGCTTCAATCGGAGCACGAACAAGAAAGTTACGAACGTTGGAGTTCGTATGCTTTTCATATTTGATTGTGGCAACTGTGGGAAGTTGTGGGGTTGACTCAATATGGGGTACAGACTTTTGGGGGTTGGGAAATTCGTCTTTTCTACTGTAGTTGCTGCCAAATGGTTGGGAGAAACCAAACCAGGTTGGCAAGTGTGGCCAAGTTGGGTTGAGGTGGATTGTGGAGGTTGGGATAGTGACAAAGGTCAAAGTTGGGTTGCCTATGGGGAAGGGAATTGTGTGGCATGGGGTTTCCTTGGTTGGGGACTCTCTTGGGACCTTCCCTCTCATCCTCCTCATCCTTTCCACCTGGTTTAGTGCTACTCTAATTCTCTTGTGTGAACTTGTGTGGGACTCTTGTGATTGAGTTAAGTTCTTATGGCAGCATACCCCCCTGTGCGCCGAAATTGATAAGTCGGGATTTACTTCACCTCTTGATACGATTCAAATTGGGAATTGTAGCTACGGACTAGGGCTACCACATATCTGAGTTTGGTGAAGTTTTGACCGTGAATATTTTGTCGATGGCGTTTCTTGTGAGCGCGACTATTCTGTCCAGAAATAGAGACCAACGATTTTGAGAAATTTAGGCACCTAATCTTCATAGACTCCGTCCTTAGTCTCTAACACTCAGCACCACCAGGCAAAGCAGACATGGCAGTAAGGATGGCGTCATTGTCTAAAGCAAAGACAGCAACACCCGACCTAAGCCGCTCAAGCCAGGGGGGGATCTCAGCCTCGTCGCCAAACTCTGTGCGCCAGGCGTCAGTCAAATAGGCAAAGCAGCGGGACTGTGCATGACCAGGTGTCCCACAGGTCTCACCAGCTCGACGACCTGTGCGAATGACGTACTGGCAGCGACCCGGACTCGGAGACGGCCCACGCTGGTAAAGCCACTCACGAAGCTGACGGGGCGTAAGGGTCGGACGCCGCCGTAGTTGCATCTGGCCACCGCCAGACACTCCGCACCAAACAGCGCCACAGTGACTGCTACTACGGCCGCCACCACTCCCACTGCTGCCACCACCGCCGTCACCACTCCCACCGGTACGACAAAGGGAAGTCATGGCGGGCAAGCTAGGAGGAGCTTGACCTCTAGGGCAGTAGGGAGTGAAGGCAATAGCACGAGTAGCAGCAGCAGCAGTAAGAGCAGCATGGCGGCGCGCGGCCAGAGCACGGCGGCGTGCAGCCAGAGCAGGACGGCGCGCGGCCACAGCAGGGCAGTAGCAGGCAGCAGCAGGTAGTAGCTCCTAGGGCGAAAGCACCTAGGGCCTTTTTTTTATTATTATTATTTTAATTTTATTTAGGGTTTGGCAGGGCGCTGGTGCAGGGCAGGGCGCTGGCGCAGGGCAGGGCGCGGGCGCAGGGCAGGGCGCTGGCGCAGGGCAAGGCGCCAGCGCGCGCAGGGCAGGGCGCTGGCGCAGGCTACAGCAGTGCGTGACGAGAAGGGCAGCAGAGCGCGACGCGACTGGCTGCCTTAGGGCGCGACGCGCGGGCTGCAGCAGAGCGCGACGCGCGAGGCAGCAGAGCGCGACGCGCGAGGCAGCAGCGCGCGACGCGCGGGCTGCCGTAGGGCACGACGCCCAGGGCTGCAGCGCGGGCGTAGGGAAGGGCGCAGGCGAAGGGCAGGGCGCTGGCGCAGGGCAGGGCACCGGCGCAGGGCAGGGCACCGGCGCAGGGCAGGGCGCCGGCGCAGGGCAGGGCGCCGGCGCAGGGAAGGGCGCCGGCACAGGGCAGGGCGCTGGCGCAGGGCAGGGCGCCGGCGCAGAGCAGGGCGCCGGTGTAGGGCAGGGCGCCGGCGCAGGGCAGGGCGCCGGCGCAGGGCAGGGCGCCGGCGCAGGGCAGGGCGCTGGCGCTGGGCAGGGCGCTGGCGCAGGGCAGGGCGCTGGCGCAGGGCAGGGCGCTGGCGCAGGGCAGGGCGCTTGCGCAGGGCAGCGCGCTGTCGCGGGGCATGGCGTTGGCGCATGGCAGGGCGCCGGCGCAGGGCAGGGCGCTGGCGCAGGGCAGGGCGCCGGCGCAGGGCAGGGCGCTAGCACAGGGCAGGGCGCTGGCGCAGGGCAGGGCGCCGGTGCAGGGCAGGGCGCTGGCGCAGGGCAGGGCGTCGGCGCAGGGCAGGGCGCTGGCGCAAGGCAGGGCGCTGGCGCTGGGCAGGGCGCTGGCGCAGGGCAGGGCGCTGGCGCAGGGCAGGGCGCTGGCGCAGGGCATGGCGCCGGCGCAGGGCAGGGCGCTGGCGCAGGGTGACGCCAGGCAGGGCAGGGCAGGGCGTGCGCGAGGCAGCACGACGCGGGGCAAGGCAGGGCGTGTGCGGGGCAGCACGATGCAGGGTAGTGGGGTAACGCGGTAACCGCAGTCGGAAGCTAAGTATGGTGGGTGTCAAACATATATATGTTATATGTTGCAGTTATTGGTAGGCTGTAGTGGGGTAGATTCTGTGGGGTATAACCCCTTAGGGTTTTCCTACTTGTAAAACTCTCTCGATAGTTGAATCCATCCTTCTCATTCTAACATGGCATCAGAAGCCTAGGTTAGGAACCTAGGACCATCTCGTACTAAGGGCCTACCCTTCCGCTACTGGCGCCCTCGAGCGCCCTCTTTACTATTGCGCCCTCGTGCGCCTCGTTCTCTCACGCTGCCCGTGCGCAGCTCGCTAGCCGCCCCCCGCGCGGCCCCTTTGTCCTAGCGCGAGCAGCCCGCTAGTAGCCCGCGCGTGGCCCAAATCGCGCGCGCGACGACCGTAGGCCGCCCGCGCGGCTAGCACCACCCACGAGCAGGCCGCTAGCCGCCCGTCGACCCACCCGGCTGGCTTTCCAGCGCGACGCAGCCCCGCCTGTAGGCAGTCGCGTCGCCCCCCCGTAGGTCGCCGCCCCTGCTTTCGTAGGCCGCCGCCCGCGCGCGACTGCAGCCCGAGCCCGACCGCTCGCCCCTAGGACGCCGCACGACCCACCGCCGCCCGCCCGCAGGTCGCAGCCCGCCCGCAGTTACGATCGTGAGTAGGCTGCTGCAGCTCGCGTTTCGATGCAGCACGAACCCAGCCGCGGCCTGTGCGCGGCTGCAGCTTAGGCGCCGCCGCCCACCGTGCTAGGCCCGCCGCCGCGCTGCCTTACGTGCCCGAGCCGCGCCGCCCGAGTCGCGCCGCCCGAGCCGCGCCCCCCGAGCCGCGCCGCCCTGACCGAGCCGCGCTGCCCCACCTACAGCACCTGCTGTTCCTGTTCCTACTATTCCAGCTGTTCGTTTCACTACAGCCACTACTGCTACTGCTCTTACTGCTACTGCTCTTACTGCTACTGCTGCTACTGCTACTGCTGCTGCTGCCACTATGGCTACACCCACTGTTCTCTCTTTCGATGCTGAGGGCCGTCCGCTCCAGTTTGATGCTTGGCTCGACGATCTCCACCTCTTCCTCCAGATCACTGCTAAGGATGATGTCTCGCTGTATGACCACGCATCCGGAACCGCTCTAGCACCTGCTGACACTGCTGACAGTACAGCCCGCTCCCAGTGGCAGACTCGTGATGCCCACGCTCGCCTAGCCATTCGCAGCCACCTGCCGTTAGATGAGCGCGCACACTTCGGCCAGCACAAGACTGCTAAGGCACTGTACGATGCAATCGTCGCTCGCTACTCCTCGCCTGCCTCTACTACGATAGGTCGTCTCTCGCTGCCCTATCTTTTCCCCGATCTCGCCGCCTTTCCCACAGTCGCTGACCTCATTACCCACCTCCGCACTAGTGACACTCGCTACCGCGCCGCCCTTCCTGCTGAGTTCCTCACCAAGAACCCCCCCCCCGATGTACCTCGTTCTCTACCACCTAGTCACTCGTCTCCCTGACTCCCTTCGTGCAGTCAAGGACACCTTTCTCGCCCTCTGCCCCACCGAACTCACCATTGACCTGCTCGAGAAGCATCTGCTTGCAGCTGAGGCTAGCATCAATGCTGTAGGTGCCTCTCGTGGCGACCCCCTTACACCCTTCTTTGACGGGTGTTCCCCTCCCCCCCTTCTCTCCTCGGTAGCCTCTGCTGCCACTGTCGACTTCCTTGGTGCTGAGGAAGTCGGGGCTGCGTCTGCTCCAAGCTGGAGGCGCAAGGGCGGCAAGGGCAAGGGGGGCAAGGGTGGTGGTGGTGCCAGCGGGGGAGGTGGAGGTGGCGGCGGTGGGGGCGGTGGGGGTGGTGGCGGTGGTGGGGGTGGTGGCGGGGCTGGGGGGGTGGGTGGCGGCGGCGGGGGTGGTGGCGGCAGTGGTGGTGGAGGAGGCCGGGGTGGAGGTGGTGGTGGTAGAGGCAGTGGGCGTGGGGGCGGCGGCTCGGGTGGTGGTCGGGGTGGACCGGCGCAGCGTGGAGGTGCGGGTGGTGTCCAGCGCCAGCAGCAGCGTCTTGGAGAGACCCCGTCGCCCCAGCAGCTTCGTGAGTGGTACTCTCAGCATGGGGGGTCTGGGGGCGGAGGTACCTGCACGTATGTCATCCGTACAGGTGACCGCGCTGGCCAGACGTGTGGGAGGTTCCACACGCCACAGCGCTGCTTCTTCCGTCTCGACGACGCCTGGCGTGCACAGTTCCCTGAGGCCTCTGAGCTGCCCCGCTGGGCTGATCTGCTTAAAATGAACATTGATGTCTTTGCACTTGACTTTGATGTTATCCTTGGAGCCATGTATGCATTGACTATTAGTGTTGAGGGTGAGTGTTACTTGTGTGTGCCACCAGACCCAGGCATTGCGACCAGTGAGGCTGCCGCTCTAGGTGCTAGTGCGTCTGCTGCCCCAGGTCCTGGTGAGGCTGCTGCTCTAGGTGCAGGTGTGTCTGCTGCTTCAGGTACTTGTGAGTCTGCGCCTTCAGGTACTGCGTCTACTGAGGCACTGCACACCTTCACACTAGACTCCGGTGCTTCCCGCTGTTTCTTTCACGACCGCACTGCCCTCGAGCAGCTCCCTAGGCCGGTTGCTGTCTCCCTGGCTGACCCCTCTGGGGGTCCGGTCCTTGCGACCTCCACCACTGCCCTCCCTTGTCCTGCTGTCCCGTCCGGCACGCTGTCGGGCCTTTACCTCCCCTCGTTCTCTACGAACTTGGTGGCGGGTTCCGCGCTCCAGGATGCGGGTGTTCACCAGTTCACCCCTGCCTACGAGCGTGTGACACACTGCACGTGTGCCCAGACGGGTCGTCACCTGGCTACCTTCACTCGGCAGCCGGGGTCGGACTTGTACACACTGACCACTGAGTCCCCTCAGGTAGCGGCGGCTGCGTCTGCGTCAGGTCAGTTGTCCGCCCCCTGCTCGTGTCGCACCCTGTCGCACCGGACGGTCCTCTGGCACCACCGCCTTGGGCACCCTTCGATGCAGCGCCTTCGTGGCATGCACTCTCGTTTCCTTGTCTCTGGTCTCCCCAGGTCACTGCCTCCCCTGCCACCGTCCCCTGCCCCTCCTTGCCTTCCCTGTGTCGAGGGGCGGCAGCGTGCCACCCCTCACTCCTCTGAGTTTCCCCCGACGGAGGCCCCTCTGCAGACCCTTCACATGGACGTGTGGGGCCCAGCCCGCGTCCGTGGACAGGGCGGAGAGCGCTACTTCCTGCTGGTAGTTGACGACTACACGCGTTACACCACGGTCTTCCCCTTGCGCACCAAGGGAGAGGTCCCTGCTGTTTTGATCCCTTGGATCCGCGCTACCCGTCTCCAGCTGGAGAGGCGCTTTCGCACGGACCTTCCCGTCATGCGACTGCACTCTGACAGAGGTGGTGAGTTTTCCTCCGGTCTCTTGGAGACCTTCTGTCAGGGGGAGGGCATTCGCCAGACGTTCACGCTTCCGGCCTCTCCTCAGCAGAATGGGGTTGCTGAACGCCGCATTGGCTTGGTCATGGAGGTCGCTTGTACCTCCTTGGTCCATGCGGCTGCCCCCCATTTTCTGTGGCCGTTTGCGGTCCGCTATGCCGCGCGACAGCTCAACCTCTGGCCCCGTGTCTCCGTTCCGGAGACTTCGCCGACGCTGCGTTGGACGGGAGAGGTTGGCGATGCGTCTGTGTTCCGGGTCTGGGGATCTCGTGCCTTTGTCCGCGATACGTCCGCGGACAAGCTCTCCGCCCGCGCTGTTCCCTGTGTCTTCCTTGGCTTTGTCCCTGATGCGCCTGGCTGGCAGTTTTACCACCCCACCTCGCGCCGTGTCTTCGCCTCTCAGGACGTCATGTTTGACGAGTCGGTCCCCTTCTACCGTCTCTTCCCCTACCGCACTGCCCCGCTCCCCGGCCCGCCGCTCTTCCTCACGCCAGGTGCTGCTTTGGTAGACCCCCTGCCTCCCCAGGGTCCTGCTCCCTCAGGTGTTTCCCAGGTAGACCCGGTCGAGCCTGTCGAGGTAGCTGTTGACTCTGGTCCTGCGCGAGGTGCTGAGCGTGCTGAGCCTGGTGGTGCTGGGTCTGGGGGTGCTGAGACTGGGGGTGCTGAGCCTGGGGGTGCGGAGACTGGGGGTGCTGAGCCTGGGGGTGCTGAGCCTGGGGGTGCGGAGACTGCTGGTGCTGAGCCTGGGGATACTGAGCCTGGAGGTCCTGAGCCTGGGGGTGCTGCGCCTGGGGGCGCTCTCTCTTCCCAGCAGCTACGTGAGTGGTACTCTCGGTACTGTCGCCGCCGCCGTGGTGCTGTGGGCGCTGGAGGTGCTACTGGAGCTGGAGCTGAGGACGCTGGGCCTACTGGAGTTGGTGTCGCTACTGACCCTGGTGTTGGCGCGGGAGGTGCTGGAGCGACTGGTCCTGGAGGTGCTCGTACTGGCGGTACTGGAGCTGCTGGGACTGGAGGTGCTACTGGAGCTGTTGGAGGAGCCGACGGTGCGGCTGGAGCTGGAGCTGCTGGGGGTACTGGAGTTGGCGCTGCTGGAGCTGCTGGTGGTGCTGCAGGAGTTGGAGCTGCTGCTGGAGGTTCTGGTGCTGTCTCTGCTGGTTCTGGGGGCACTGCTCGGCCACGGCCGTACTTCGTTCCCCTCCTTCAGCAGGTTCTTGGTCAGCCGCCTCCTCCTTGTCCTGCTCCCTCCTTAGAGTGTCCTCCGCCTGACCAGTCGCAGTCGCAGTTACCGCCTGCCTCGCCACTCCCTGGTCCTTCTCCCTACACTGGTCCGACAGGAGGTCTTACAGAGCGTCGTGAGCCTGAGTCTCGTCCTGTGTCGCCTGAGTCTCGTTCTGCATCACCTGTTCGTGCTGCTCGCACTGGTCGTCGTGTCCCGCGTCAGCGTCCTCCTGTTGTCCCAGGCACTCACCAGATGACGCTTCGTCCCCAC